TATGTGCATTTGTTTCATGATCTCATTAACGATAGCCAAATGGGGGCCGCTTTAAGGCCGAAAATGCATTGAAATCGCACATTTTCACCATTCCGGACCCGTATCTCAGTTATGCATCGATGGATTTTGTTCAAATTTGGTACATACATTAAACATAATAGGACCTTGATGCACGTCTTTTTTTTTTTCGGATCAAGTTCGAAATGGCCGACTGGCGGCCATTTTGTTAAAGAATTCAGTTCTGGATTCGTATCCAAGACATGTCTGGATTGATCAAGTTCAAACTTCACACACACATGGTACATCATGTCACAAATAGATATGTGCATTTGTTTCATGATCTGCTTAACAATAGCGGAATGATGGCCATTTTAAGGCCGAAAATGCATCAAAATCACGTATTTTCACAATTCCAGAACCGGATCTCAGTCATGCATGGATGGATTTTGTTCAGATTTAGCACAATGTGTTGTACATATGCAGGTGCATTTCGGTCATGATCTGCTTTGAATGTATATGTCACTCAAATATGAACGGAACGGGGACGTGTCATTGACAATGACTTGTATTTTTTTATTTCAAGGTAAGAAATGGCTAGTTGAATGCAGTTGTTCACCACCAAGATCCGCAAACAACTCTAGCTCTGTTTTATTAGATCTCTTATCAGAGACACTTGAAAGATATAATAATGCAGCAAATCTACAGTGTTTTATTAACCAAAACTGTTTTTCGCGTTTTTCTCGAGTTGAAGATTTGATTGAGTACGACTCATTGGGACCGCCGCCAAATCAAGTACGTTCGGACTAGGACATTCATACTCGCAGTTATCGTTCAAAAGATAATGATGGTGCGAAATATGTCTGGGTTTTTAAAGAAAATGCTTTGTCACAGAATAATAGTCTATTAAAGGTGCCAAGTATGAAATAATTTGGGGACAAAAAAACAAACCTGCATAGAAATCGGAATAATAGGTCTTTTGATTACTGTGGACACATTTCAATGGACTTGATTACGGACAATGCATGACGTAAATTTCACCAGGAAATTCTGCAGTGTGCTCGCGCAATCGCGGACTTAGTCATTTTTACAAGGTTCGGCATTTTTGATGTCACGTGATAATTATGTAAACAATGACTGTCCAGTTTGTGCAAACTTGTACCTCTATACTTAGTCTTTTAAAATATATAAGCTAAATTACTGTTCTGAACGAGACAACAGACAGAGAATGTTTTATTCGAAAACGTCACAAAAACCTTCTTGCTACCTTAAGAACATACCATTCATTCATCATGGTGTACTCTCAGACTATCTATCTATCTGAAAATCAAACAAAATCGAGTTAAATTCGAATGAACTGACTCGTATGCTGTTTTCACAGAGAGTCGGGGTATATTGTTACAAGTCATTACAGCTCAGCTGAAGCCATTGCTTGAGAGGAAAGAGGAGTCGCATATATGTGTTAAGGTCCTGTCAGATATAATGGAAATACTTTACAGAAAGGATATAGTAAGTATTAACAGATTCAGTATCATTAGCGGATTCCAAAGAACACTTCTTTATTATGCTCAAATATAACCATTTACTAAACCTAAGCTTCACAAACATTCCTATATTTAGTCACATGATATATAACTTGTTAGCATATGAGTGATTGTCCGCTGCGACGTCCGTGTCAATGTTTTACTTTTTCGACTTCTTCTTGAAAATTACAAGCCTGAATGCTTTGATACTTGGTGTATATGTACCTTGGGTAGACCTCTCTCTGATTTGTTTATTTCATGATGATATGTTTAATTCTCTAATTTTGGTGAATATTTTTGTCATTTTTGATGAAAAGTGATATTTTTGAATTCTTGTTGAAAACGGCAAGTCCGATTGCTTTGATACTATACATATTGTTCATTTCATAATGATGTTTTTAGTTCTTTAATTGAAATGTTTTATCTCAGCCGACAGGCTGCTTGTATTTATTTATTTTTGTTAAATACAGCCTGAAATGTTTTGTAAAATTGTTTGACTTCTGAAAATGTTCTTTCATGTCAATTGTAGAAGCGTGATATTGCATTAAATTTGTATTCACACTTACATGTACATGTAATTATTGTACATATGGTATGACCTCCTAACTCAGTATTCTTTATGAAACAACATTTCAAATTAGCGAATTTCCTTGACATTATGTTATTTTTTCTTGCAGGGACCAACACATACTGATGTTGACATTTTGATGAAGGAATTATTGCGAACTGTCATACAGACCGTCATATTCATGGATAGAGATTCTCAACTCATTGTATGTATGCAAATTTACTTTAATCATTATACAAATGCCAAGCATGGGAGCTAATGTGGTCACCATGTCTGTGTGTATGTGTCTAGATATTTATTTGATTGTTATTTTACTTATAATGCAGATACTCGTGGTATTGTTATCATTGTGAAAGTTATGGTCACGATATCTTGACAGTTTGATTGTGTCACATGACATTTGAACACAGTTACAATACACAAAGAAGTAAAACAAAATGTGGAAAATAAAAAATTATTTAAAATGCAAATTTATACATCAAGAAATCATTTTTCATAGTTTTTAGTGTTTTTGTGTTTCTGATGTTATATACATACATTTTCATCATACTCGTACATGAACAAAACCAATTCGGGATTTGAGCAAGGTAATTTAAGGAAATTTAACTATGTTTTTTTCTTTTCTTTGTAGGGTAACTTTGTAGCATGTATGATTGGCCTGCTTCGTCAAATGAGTGAATATCACTATCAGAATTACATCAGTAACTTTAGTAACAGAACTGATCTTGTAGATTTTCTCATGGAGATATTTATGGTCTTCAAAGACCTGGTGTCCAAAAATGTCTTCGCCACTGACTGGGCTGTCATGATAATGTTACAAAACAGGTAAGTTTATTGTCTTGAGCTTTCAGGCTCTGATAAAATAATCCTGTAAACAGGATAATTGACAGAAGTACTGTATTAATTAGTTTACATGCAATTTAAGGGGCACTTCATTAGGAGGACCCCTCAAATACAGGTAACATGCTATGCCTTTTTTGGAAATACTCCCATGATGCCCCACTAGTTGCCATGTCAACATCCTCTACCAGATGTTTCTATCAGATATGTATTTGAACTTTCAGTTGAAATAAAGCCCACCTATCAGCAGCACTAGTTTGAACATCTTAGCTAGCCATAGTACACTTTTCCAGCCATCGTCTCACCACTATACCTTGGTAGATCCTGTTCCCTCTTCAGGAAGCATCCCCCATTTTGTTTTGTTTTTGTTTTTGACTGCCAACTCAGATTAGGTACATGCATGTTTCCATGGCGCATCTGTTCACATTTATCTGTTGTACTGAGGTCAAATGTAACTTCTCTGTTGAATCATTCAGAAATATTGTTATGAAACAAAACAAAACTGTGTTATTCACACAATGCTCTCTGAATCATGACAAAATAAGCAATACAGTTTAGCAATATTCGAATCTTGGAAAATGTTACCCACTGTGGTTACTAACGGCCATTTTGTTTTCAGTGTTATCCTAGGTGCCATGAAGCAGTTTTCACAAACTTTGAACAAACACTTTATTAGTGAGAAGGAATTTGAATATCAACTATACAACAACTTCTTCCACCTATCTGTGGCATTTCTAACGCAAGAACCATTGCAGTTAGAAAACTTCTCCACTGGCAAGAGAAACAAGATTATAGAAAAGTAAGTCGCCAAAAAAATAATTTATGATACACAAAAATTGTTCCACCTGTTTTATTATTATAATTCATTGTAGAGCACACTTTCCACTATGCAGCACATTAAATGGGACATTATGTTGTGATACTGTCTGTGTGTTTGTCTGCATGAATTGTGATCACATTGTTCTAGATAGCGACTGATTGACCATGCTGTATAGCTGTATACTCGCATATTAATGACAAATATTCATTCTTTGGCATTATTGATTATTTTTATTCATACATGTTGTTACTTCTCAGCTTTGCATCACATCTTTACATCTGCTTCTCTGTGGAGACACAATAGACTGACTTTGGTATACAACCTTGCAATCTAGAAAAAATATTGTCTATATTGTGCTTGGCACATGAAAATGATTTCATGTTTATCTAATTATGTATTAAAAAAGGCAGGCTTAAATTGACAAATTTCACAAGAGGGAAAATTACTTTTGTGGAAGGACTAAAATTGTTTCAATTTAAGCCTTGAATTTTGATATTTATTTATTTTAATACTTATTTGTGCGTGGTCAGTATTTTCGTTTCTGATTGCACTGTGCTTTATTTTGTATGCCTCCAATAATCTCATCACAGACTTCTCTCATGAACTCAGTGTCTTTCATCAATACGCTTACATTCTTTATACATTTCTTCTTTTAACGCTCTGCTATATTGGAATTAACACATAGAAGGTACTGTATTGTCATATTTATCTCAAGTGCTTTGCATAGCATGCTCAATAATCCAGAATATTGAACTTTTCATTCTCTTAAAGTTGCATTTCCTCTTTGAAAATATATGAAACTATGTTCCTAAAACAAGCTAAAACATGGAATATGTAAAAATGAAATTGTTGTCACTAAAAAATATGAAATATTAATTAAAAGTTATGACATTTTACACATATTTCATTTTGAGTGTACTCGAAACTCTTATTCCTCAGACAAACATATCTACAATGTAACACCTCCAAGGATGAGTAATGATCTTAATCAGTGAGTGTTTACAAATCTAGATTACCGTACTTTGAAGAGAATCATTTAAATTCATCGTTAATTTCTCATTAATCATTCATATAAACCCTTTATGGGTTATCTCAGAGATGTTATTTCAAAGATTTGTAAAATGGAAATGCACCTTTAAAATGTCATGTTCAAGATGTATTTAGCATAAACCTCAAACCATGAGATTTCTTAATATTCCTGACCCCCTAGTGTGATAATAGCAGTGTCTTGATTGTCACTTAGCGATGTTTCTACAATTCATCTTTCTAGACAGGGTGAGGAAGGTGAAGCAGGGCAACTCACCCGGATAGCACCATGTTGGCCTGCTACAACTTTGTGATACTACTGACCTTATGTGCTGAAATAACTCTTGTATTAATGTATTCATAAACATGTTAGAAGGTTAAGAATGGAGAAGAGGTTTACCGGTTCACACTAATTATTTTTAGAGAAGAATTATTTTAAACTATATATTAAATTATATGTTTTATGAGAGTTTATAATTCACACTAATTAAAGATTAATGTCAGGTTTTGTGCAACCTTCATGCGCTCATGTGACTGCTAAGTAAAATCTCTTATTGCAACTGTACTGTGAAGAAATTAAAAATGATACCTTATTTTTGTTATTGAAAAATGTAGAATAAGACATAAGAAACAAAACAGTCCAGCAATTTTTTACTCCCGTGTGCGAAGCACACAATGGGAGTCTTTGCAGTTACCCTGTCTGTATGTATGTATGTGTGTGTGTATGTATGTGTGTGTGGGTGGGTGGGTGTGGGTGTGTGTGTGTGTGTGTGTGTTCGTTCGTTCGTTCGTCTGTTCCACTGATATCTCAAGAACCATACATGGGTTTTCGATGAAACTTGGTGCATAGATGCTCTGGGCTAATGCGCAGATTTGATTAGGTTTTGGTAGAAACCCCATGCATATTAATTACCTAGCTTGCATGATAATTAGCTCATTTTTAGCTGTTCCATGACTGTTACACTGATATCTAAAGAACCACTCATTGAATTTTGATGAAACTTAGTACATAGATGCTCTGAACTAATGCCAGGTTTTGATTAGTTTTTGGTGAAAATCTGTGCATATTAATTACCTAAATTGCATAATGATTAGTAAATTTTCGGCTTTCCCACTGATGTCTCAACTACTAATCATCACATTTCAATGAAACTTGGTACCTAGATGTCATAGGACACTGCACAGACCTAGTAGTTTTAGGTTAATATCAGTACATATTAATTACCTAATTTGCATAATAAATTAATTTTCAGCTTTTGATATTTCAAGTACTAAGCATTACATTTCAATGAAACATGGTACATAGATACTCAAGCACTATGCGATAAATATTTGTGCATATTAATAACCTGATTTACTTAATTAGTTAATTTTCGGATTTTCACGTATATCTCAAGTACTAAACATGACATTTCAATGAAACTTGGTACTATGCAGAGATCTGATTAGTTTTGGGGTAAATAATTGTGCATAATAATTAACTTATTTGCATAATTATTTAATTTTCAGCTTTTTCACTGATATCTCGAGTACTAATCATCACTTTTAAATGAATCTAAACTATGCAGAGAGCCAATAAGTTGTTGGTATATATTTATACATATAACATTGATTTTTTTAAATGATCATGAAATCTTCTGTGATGATAGGTAAACATCTAAAGTTGTTCTAAAATTAATTCACACTTGACTGTGTGATTTATTAATTATTTAAAATACATGCAAATTAAGTCATCACAGGGTGTTAATTTTGACCACTGTTTTGAGTACGGTATGTTTCATTTATGATAGAGCTTTGAAATTGTCATAGAATAATAAGATATACAGGGTTTGCGCTAATGTCTCGGCAAGACAAGTCCCACTTACAAAATTTCAAGAAATTGAAATTTGACCTTGGATAACTTTATTAGAGTTTGGGCCTGAAAAACTGGGTCCCTCTTCAATAATTGGAGTCCGAGAAGCAAAATAATACTCTACTACATCCTTAAAACAGTTGTCTACATGCTTAAATACATACATGTACATGGTTAATCTGTAATTTCATTTGAATGCCAACATCCTGTGATGTTGTAATTCTGCTAATGTATTTTTTTATTGATAAAGAATAGTTATGTTTGACTCCTAAAGGTCACACATCCTGGTACTTTCTGTCTTTCTTCTTGAAGTACCAGGATGTGTGACCTTCAGGATTCTTAATAATACTTAATAATGACTCATAATATAATATTTGATTACTGCTTATGTATATTTAGTTTTATAAAATTTACTTATTAAGTTGTACAAGAAAGAAGCCTTGTAAATGTAAATTTCCTGTTAGTAAATTTTTTGCTTTAAAAGTCAGTGTGGTATGGATGTTATAAACTGTAGAATGGTCGCTACAAAACCAGATGATTAAAATGCAACTTTATACAGGGTTGCAATTTAATAAGAGTTTAATTAAACTCAATTAAATTGTCACTCTATACAGTGTTACATTTAACATTCTTGCCCAAAATTGTTTTTGTACTTTTTTTCTTTATATCCTTCAATATTTTTGGAAAAGAACCCTAATTTTGAAACCAACAGACAAAATTTCAGTCAATTTTCAGTTTTTACTCAAAAAATTTGGCTATTTTTGTCCCAATATTCTGAAAAGAAAATGCAGACTATATATTTTGTGAATTTGTGATGAAAAGAGGGAACTGGTGAAAAAGTTAATCGTAATTGAATTAAATTCAAAGTAGTAGAAATAACATACAAATTGTAACTTGATTTGTAATGGTTTGTTTAGCTTAGGTTTACAGAGTATATACAGTATACAATTCATATACGGTTGATAACTTGCATATAATTATACAATCGTCTTTCTCTCTTGCTGCAGGTACAAAGATATGAGAAGGGAAGTTGGAATTGAAATAATACGGATGATGTGGTATCACCTTGGTGGTCACAAAATACGATTCATACCGGAAATGGTTGGACCATTCCTGGAGGTCACATTGATTCCAGAAGTTGAACTTCGTAAAGCTACCATTCCAATATTCTTTGATATGATGCAGTGTGAATTCAATAACAGACATCATTTCAAGCAGGTGAGATTTGCAAAACACTTATAATTATAAACTTCAATAGTGCATCTCAAATAGCAGACAAATATTAGTCACCAAGCATCTTGTTTGAAAGACTAATCTTAAGTTTTGGATTAATTTAAAATTAGCGTTAGTTGCGCCATCCACCGTGCTCCAACACACACCTGACAGAACGATGTAGTTTCTCACTTCCCCAGACAATTTTTTGTTGATACCAATTAAATTGCAGGAACGTCAGATAGCGACAGCCATCAAAGAGTAACTATTCACAGCAGAGTTTGTTTGTTGGCATATTTCCATCCAATGTTTATCAACTTATTGAAAACAATCTGTGATTTTTGCCGACAATGCAAACACGACTTTGACTGATGGTGTTACCATGAGCACCAAAATGAATATTCAGTGAACTCATTGCGAGAAGGCGTGAACTTTGTGTTAGGTGTTAATGGGGGGGGGGGCTGATGCTGGTCGGCCGGCGAGGACTTACTCATGCCTACATGTCAGGCTAATTTTAAATATTCTTCCAGTACTCATAGGAGTTCTTTCTAAGCTTTCTTTGATATTTTTTAGATTGAGTTCAAACTGGCCGACTAGCGTTCATTTTGTTTCAAAGAATGTAGTTTCGGATCTATTTATCTGACATGTCTAGATCGATCAAGTTTTAAACTTCTCAAAATCACACGTTTATCGTTCAGGAACCAGATTTCAGTCATGTATGGATAATGGGACATTGATGTGCTTCATTTTATTTTTCGAATTTAGTTCAAAATGGCCGTACGGAAACTATTACATTACTTGTTTATATATTTCACATTTGACTCATTAAAAATCAATGCAAATAAACTTCATGCAAAACTGCCAAACTGTCTTTCAGAGAAAATTAATTCCAGCTAAAATTAATTATTTTACATTATACATGTATCTTATTTGAAATGAATCCACACATGTATTTTAAATTCTTGTCTTGTTTTGTTTCAATAGGTTGAATCTGAGGTGATTACACAATTGGATGTTCTGATAGAGGGCGGTAGAGGGGATGAACAGTATAAAGATTTATTTAATGTTTTGTAAGTTTAATAAATCAATGTAATATTTAATTTTTGAATTTGAATACCGGTATTGTATTTTCCTTTGAAACATACTTTGGAACTGTGGAATTGATAAAATAATTTATTGATTAATCACCAGTTTTCACCACCAGTTCCGTTCCCTCTTTTCATCACAAATTCACAAAATATTTGAGTTTATAGTCTGCACTTTCCTTCAGAAGATTGAGACCAATATAGCCAAATTCTTTGAGTAAAAACTGAAAATTGACTTAAATTTTGTCTGTTGGCTCCAAAATTAGGGTTCATTTCCAGAAATTTTAATGAATATCAGAAAAAAGGGCAGAAATTTTAAAGAATATCAGAAAAATTTGTGTGAGAAAGTCTGGGATGAAAGGTTAATGGTTGGTTATCTAATGATTGTTTTTCTGTTTTTTTCACAGAATTTCTGATCTGTGTAGCAAGCATAAATTTCTTTGTGATTCTGGTTCAGAATTCGTATTGTTAGTAACTCGACTTTTAGAAAGATTATTAGACTATAGGGCTATAGTGACAGACGAAAACAAGGAGAACAGGATGAGTTGTACAGTGAATTTACTGGTAAGTTTGTTACATTTAGTAGTACATGATGACTTATTTCCTCCAATTAGGGCATCATTTAACTAATGGAAATATTTATGTGCAGGCTGCAAATAACTGCAACTCAACTGCGAGTTAATTTAGGCCAGGAAAATTCTCTTTCATGTTCCCACCCACATTTACTACATGACTACATATAATGGGTTACATAAAATCATTGTTTTTCACTATTTTTTACTCAATGAGTTTTAAATTTTTGGATTTTTCAGTAAAACAATTGTTATTTTACATGTTACATGGATTTAATTAAGTATATTTAGCAGAAATAGCGAAATTAACACCCAGTGAAACATTAATGCACTTACATGTTGTTTTTTTGCAACCTTGTGATTGGATGGTGCAGTGATTGTTGATGGCTTGTATTGAAGTACCCATAATTCATTGAAGTAATAAATGCCCAACCTAGTGCCAAAATAGCCGCAAACTTCATAGTTTTAATTACCACAAGACATGCCTACATGTTTTTTTTCCAAATTTTCAAAATATAAAACAAATTATTGTTTTGTGAAAGGTGACAAAATGTAACCAAAATGTTCAATTATTACAGAATTTTTACCGAGACATTAACAGACAGGAGATGTATCTGAGATATCTTTACAAACTATGTGACTTGCACTTAGAGTGTGACAACCATACAGAGGCTGCGTTTACATTGCAGATGCATGTGAGTTCTCTGAAGGTAAGGCGGTAACAACCAAGTCTTCTTTCTCAAACAGATTTCTGTGTAAATGTATAATTGAATTTTATTTCATTGAAATCCTGCATTATGCATGAAAGTAAAGCGTGGTGTTTGAATTAAATGTAAATAAACAATGTATTTTACGTGCATTGTATACGTCGCTATGAGTCCCATATCGAACAGAATGCGGCACGACGACTGCCGCTCTTTAAACATAAAAACGGGACAAACAAAGGTCGCAGCGACGTTAAAACATCGCTTGGGATTCAAAAAAAGTCTTTTAGAGTATTTCCGCACTCAATAATATGCTTATACATATATCTTGGCTAATTTTTAAAAAGTACGTATATTTCAATGCAATATTCTTCTGATCAAAGATTGACATTTTGACAGTGAGCTATAAAAAAGAAATTTACATTCAAAATAAGATCGTTGGTTTTTGTGGCTGACGTTCAGTTCGCACCTTTCATGCAATATGCAAGATCTCGCAGTGAATGATTATGTCATCTATTTCCAAGATCAAAAGTAACACAAAGTGTAGTTGGAATTTGTTCACTGTATAAATAAGATGATATATGCATGAATATAAATTTAAAATAAAAGCTGGCATTCCCTGCTGTTACTAAATTATGATTACAAATAGGAAAAGATGTATATTAATATGAACTCTGACACCACATATTAGTGGATATGTTCACCTTATTGTTTTCGTACTTTACGATGTTATTGCTTGGTTTGCTCAGTCATGATTATATCATATTTATAATGTGTCGTCTTTGTGTCTATTCATTTTAGTGGAGTGATGAGATGTTATTGCTTGGTTTGCTCAGTCATGATTATATCATATTTATAATGTGTCGTCTTTGTGTCTATTCATTTTAGTGGAGTGATGAGATGTTATTGTTCCATACAGAGAAGTACCCAAATGCACATACACAGAGGCAACTGAAAGAATGCTTGTATTATGATATTATTGAACATTTTGACAATGGCAAGGTAATATTTAGCAATAATTCTATCAATATTAAGTTCTAGTTAAAATTACTGATTGATTTTCTTTGTGTCTGACTATTCCACATCTAAGCATATACTCAACATGGTCTTGTTGATGGATTTAGTAAATGTTTATATATTGATGTGTTCATCGTGACCAAAATTTCTATTCATCTTTCTTCTATTGATGATAAAAAAAATATTCCCTTGGTGCTTCCAAGCTCCAAAAAGTAAAAATATTTTATATATACTTCTAGCACTGTGATAAAAATCTGTCTTACAAAACACTTACCGGTACTTTTATCCTATTGTAGATGTGGGAGAATGGTATCATCCTTTGTAAAGAGTTAGTACACCAGTATGAAACAGAATTGTTTTTGTACGGGCAACTGAGCGATCTTCTGGTAAGTAATAGTATAGGATTTTCTGCCAGAGTACCGATAAGCTAGATTCTGCTTCAATAAATTATATAAGGCCATAAGGTGGCACAAAGTTTAACAAAAGCCATTGTTAATGCACTAATATTCATGTTATAATATTTCATTAACAGAAACGGCAGGCCACCTTTTATGATCACATAATGATGACACCAAGACCAGAACCAGAGTATTTCCGTGTTGGGTTTTACGGACAGGGCTATCTGCCTTTTCTACGGGTAAGATTATTTCATGATTGTGTTTGTTAACAGTGGAAGTTGAAGCGGTGATTCATGTGAATTTCTATACGTTTCTATTTCTAAAGTACATTTCTAATATATTCTGTTGACTTGTATGCCATAACTTGGTCATTTTGGTTGTCTTCTTGTAATGCCATATTCTGTTATACAGGGTAGTTGATTTTTAACTGTTCTCACCAGTTTATCATCACTTTATCTCCTGTGTGTTGGTCATCATCTCGCATACAGCAAGTAATTCTCACATCTAAATGTTTATTTTTCAGAATCGCGTATTTGTGTATCGCGGGAAGGAGTACGAGAGGCTAGGTGACTTCAACAGCCGACTACAGAATATGTATCCTATGGCCAAGTTAATGGTAAAGTCAACTACTCCTCCAGGCCAAGAAACCAAAGAAAGCAAAGGACAATGTATCCTTTTATAATATTATATAATTATAATATGGGAGTCTTGAGTCCACTCAAATTGTTACAGAAACAAGTGTAACATGTACTATGTGTTTTTTTAAATGTTTTTGTGCCCGGCTGGACATTGAATGTCACTGTTGTCTCTTCTGACTTTTTTTTTGTATGTACAAGTGCTAGTGCTGACACATTTTTGCCATAGAAACCATATTCATGTTTTGGACTACATGACAGGGCTGTGCGGCCATCTCTCTATCAAATGGCCATTTAATGCGCCAGTGGAATTGGCCTACCCATTGAGTCTGTGTCACACTTACCCAGGGTAGGGGTCGACCCTTTTTGGGTGTTCAGCCTAAGTTAGGATTTGAACTTGGGTCTACCGATCATGAGTTTGTTTATGCAAAATTTGAATATAAACTGCACAATGACCATGGCCTTTTAAATATATAAAATTTGTCACTCCACAAAGTTCTTTTTATGAGAACTAAACTTTTATTTGATTATGATCTCACTTGGTAAATCATTGAAATGTTTGCAGTTGTTTCACAGTTTTAATAATTGTATTATATTAGCAGCATTTATTGTTTAATCAACATACAAACTTAGTGTTTGAGTTGTTGTTTCTTACCTGACATATTTGTTCAGATCTTCAAATTTTCACTGTACATCCTGTTCAAGAAGAGCATAAACGATTCAAAGGCAAGACTGTCAGTAATCAAATATTGAGGTAAATTTGGTATTATTCAAATTTTGAATTGTTATGCTATTAAATGCTGTTAAGTACCATAGCTCTGATGGCATTCACACTTTGGATATATGTAGTACATTATTATGACTGACTGGTCGCCATACATATAATACATTTTGGTTGTGAAATTGTACCAAAACATTTATTAGATTAATAATTTTAGTTTGAAAAAAAGTTATTACAGTGTTCTTCTGATGTTTTTATGTTTGTTGTAGTTATTACAAGGTTAATGAAGTGGACACATTTGTTTATTCAAAACCATTCAGAAGAGGGAAAAAACAAGAAGATTTAGATTTTGCTGTAAGTTCACTTTATTGTGTATTAGTCTGAAACATTTATTTCCACCTCTCCCAACATCTGTCCACACTTGGTTGCTGTACTGCTGACTGAAATCATCTGTGGGACCCATGCAATAGGTCATCCTGAATCATCAACTCACTACAAACATACATAATAGAAGAGATGCAACAGCTCTGGTGCAATAATTTAATAACTTAACCTCTTTTTATTTGCTTATTTCATGTTATAGAATCAATGGTTGCAAAGAACATATTATAAAACAAAGTATAAACTGCCTGGTATTTTGAGATGGTTTGAAGTCGTCAAGGAAACCACTGTGAGTAGTTTTTCTATTATTTTAAATAATTAAGTATCCCCATTATTATGTACAATATGATTGTATTGGTGACTGTATTATGAGAATCCGACAAGCTACTTTCACATATCAGGTCATTGAATGCATCCATATATGGTACTGATGACCTCAAGTCTCACCTTTCAAAATGGCGGCTGTGCTCACTAAAGGTCTATCAATCTTACACATTTTCTAGTGTTAACAGATGCAAGGTTACGATATAAGCCTCAAAACAAATTCAAGAATAATTTTGACTGCCACACACATCTGTAGTTACGTTTATGCTATGGGTAAATTATTTTAAATTCATGTTTTGTTTGAATCATCTAATGCCAGCATACTCCCCGTGTTTTAGTACCGGCATGTGATCATCGTTTGTCAACTTCATACCATACAACACGACTCTAACATATCCTCTTGCAATAAATGATTTTCACATTGAGGTATTAAACAACAAACTCTAAATATATCATAGTAAGCCATGATGACAGGTCACAAAAACTGCGTTTGAATTCTCGTAAATGAATCAAGTTTTTACTGTACTAATAATACAGCATATACAGGTCACTGGTAGCATAGTGTTTGTTGCATCGATTCATGATCGATATATTCCAGTTCAAATCCTACCTTTGGTTGAACACCAAAATGGGTCGACCCCTACCCTGCACCAAATCCACTCTATAAGATTCAATCAATAATGGATGTGACTTTTGGAACCCTGGTTAACGCTCGCAGGTACTTGTGTTTAACTGGGCCTGGTTGACATCAGGATAGCTCATTAAATTGTCATTTGATAGACATACAGCACTATCATGTACTTGTAGTCCCAAACATAAATCCGCTTTCTGTGGCAAAATTTACTATAAGTCAGCACTTGTACATGTACTTGCAAATTTCACATTGAAAAAAATCAGAAGGGACAAGAATGACATTCATTGTCTGAAACTGTCATCTGTCACCCAAAAAATACAGCATAATAATGATTGGCCCATATTTGTTGAAATCTTCTAAAGTAAGCGAAATATACCACTAGTAAAAGCCTGAAATTTCACTTAATACCCTTATTGGCTTGTATTCATATTGTGTTTTTAGAAAGAAGTCAGTCCCCTGGAACACGCCGTAGAGACAATGGAAGAACAAAATGATAAGCTGAATTCAAAGATAAAACAGCACATTGCAGATCCAAATGTACCATTGAATCCACTCAGTATGCAGCTGAATGGAATAGTAGATGCAGCTGTACAAGGTGGGCCGGAGATGTATGAAAAGGTATGTATGAAACAACACAAACCATAGAAATGTGAATATCCCATTTGTTCCAAGGATTGGAAGCTACAAGCAATAACCAAGATATGAACTTCTGGAAAAATGTTTATGTTTTATTTTATTTTCAGGCTTTCTTTTCTGAGGAATATCTGAAGGAACATCCTAATGATCTAGAGTTGATAGAGAGACTTAAAGATGCCATGTCAGAACAGGTAAGTCTACAATCCTATCAGAAATGTACATTATTCATTTTACCATAAACTGTTCCTGTAACTGGGCCATTATCGTAACTTGTCCAGTAACTAAACCATTATCCCAACTGGTCCAGTAACTGGAACAATATCCCAACTAGTCCAGTAACTGGAACAATATCCCAACTGGTCCAGTAACTGGAACAATATCCCAACTGGTCCAGTAACTGGACCGTAATCCCAACTGGTCCAGTAACTGGACCATTTTCCCAACTGGTCCAATAACTAAACCATTATCCCAACTGATCCAGTAACTAAACCATTATCCCAACTGGTCCAGTAACTGGAACATTATCCCAAACTGGTTCAGTAACTAAACCATTATCCCATCTGGTCAAGTAACTGGAACATTATCCCAACTGGTCCAGTAACTGGAACATTATCCCAACTGGTCCAGCAACTGGAACATTATCCCAACTAGTCCAGCAACTGGAACATTATCCCAACTGGTCCAGCAACTGGAACATTATCCCAACTGGTCCAGCAACTGGAACATTATCCCAACTGGTCCAGCAACTGGAACATTATCCCAACTGGTCCAGCAACTGGAACATTATCCCAACTGGTCCAGCAACTGGAACATTATCCCAACTGGTCCAGCAACTGGAACATTATCCCAACT